TATGGATCAAGCAGACTGGTGACCTGATCCAACCCCTATGGATCAAAGCCCTGCTCCAAGCCTTAAGTTCAAACACTGGGATCAAGAAATAGTTCTTCTAGACTCTATCCACAAAATGGGGATTTCTCATCACAAGCCTCAGCTGTAGGTTGTGTGCACGCGTTTTCTTCACACCACTTTGACTTTGCCGGTAACCCTTTTACATGTGGAGTGGCTCAAAGACCACTGGCTGCCCCCTTGACTAGTTCGCAACAAGATATTCTGAGAGGCTTTCGCACATCCGCGTGCCCGGTATGGGCGTCTTCTTGCTGTCGTTTCGTTTGTTATGCAGTTATGCATGGGTTGATGTGGCTCTGCTTTGTAGTGGATCAGCTGACTTGCTGCAAAAAAAAAGCGCTGGATATCTACGAAACAAGGGGAGAGTGAAAAACAATGAAGATGGGCTGAGAGAGTGCGCGGCTCAAACCTTTTCCCGGGAGCTCTGCCTCAGGCTTCTGTGACTTGCCACAATCGATTTCCCCCGATTGCTGCAAGAAAGACCGCCTACACACACTTACTGCAGGAGCAAGTGTCCCCTTCGTATTGCTGCAGCTTCTGGCGCTGCAGTCTCGAGTTTGCCTGCCATATGTGCAGCAGTCCAGCTTTGGTCCAAACTTCGAGAGACCTGGTGCGAACACCCATGGCTAAGACTGCACGCACGCAACAATAGCAAATTGCGCCCCGAGGAATCGAATCCTTGGACCTCTCCGAAACCCTCATCTCGGCCCATTTGACTGAGTGCCGGGTGGCGTTGCACACCCGGCAGTGGGGAGTACCTGTCCTCGAAAAATTCATGCGAGCTTTGTTTCCGCATTCCACTTTCCGGCTCAAAAGGTCAAGCGAAGCCCTCTGAGAGTCAGTGAGCTCGAGCTCAAGGTCCTCCAGGGATGCCAACAAAACAGGCTGCCAAGCCGTCCGTCTATCACATATTAGGGGGGCCTTTCAAACAGCTTAGTGAAGTTTCAGGTCCAAGTCCTGGGAACTAGTCTTCGGGGGCGAGCGCTCTAGGTTCTCTGCCTTGCGCTTCTGTGGTGTCACCACTTCTGTGGCACAAGGCTCTGATGGAGCTGGATGATCTTGCCGGGCCTTTGCGATGAGAGGGACACCGGTGACCTTTGGGGAAAACACTTCTTTCAGGAGAGTGCCAAGGAAAAAGAAGAACCTCATGATGAACAAATCAAAGTGGCTGGAAGTGACTGCTTGTCCTCCTGCAGAGGGTTCCGACTCGACCACAACAAATGCCAAGTAAACAAGCTTTTGGTAAAAGAATTCCTCCAATGGCAGTCAGAAACTATATTTCCCCTGGTGGCGTGGTTGAGAAGGTGACCAAAACTCATGCTGAATCACTCTGCCACCGGTCCTTTGTCGTCTTTGCTTTTTTTCGTGATCTCAGGAGGCAACTGATGGTCATTGGCCGTTGCCCACCGGTCTGCTTGGATCCGGCTGTAGAAGGTCTTTTTCTTTCCATCACCAAAGTTGAAAATCCAAGCCTTGAAGGGCTTACCATCCGTTTCCTTGAATCTGGTCTCTACTTGCCAGGGCTCCATGGCAAGCACACACAATGATCAGATCAAAAGGCCTGAGCACTCATATATCTGCAAACAGTGAATCAACCAATGAAACCACTTTCCTGTGCAGGGTGACCTGACTAAACAAAGACACTCCTTGTTGTTCCCTCTGTGAGGACACAAGCCTAAAAACACAAATAGAAACATGCCAAGGGATTTCCACAACAATCATCGGGGGTTATCGTTTTTTTTCTTCCTTATCGTTTTACAGTGGTTTGCAGATGCTCCCAGAAAAACGGACATGCGAATACTAATTCCTTGCATGGGGGGTTTTTATACTTCCTCAGGTGTTCCACACATTTGCGACTGTGTTCCGACTGCTTCCCGACTGTTTCCGACTGTTTCCCGACTGTTTCCGACTGTTTCCCGACTGTTTCCCGGCTGTTTCAGTTTGCAGCCTCGATTGACCGAAACTTTTGCAATCCCGACTGAAACCTTGGTTTTTGGTGTTACTTTCGACTACAGTATTTGTTTCCGCCATCCAACCTTGTGGTTTGCTCCCACTGCTTTTGCCTATTGCCCCAAGCTGTCTTCACAGCTTGGTTCCCACTGGTTTTGCTTGTATACGTCCAACGTTGCTGACATGGTTTCTTTTGTTTGCAATGTTGTCTCCTATGTCTACCGGATTCTCGTTCACCTGCGTTCAAACATGGGTTCCTTTATCTCAGATTGGTTTTAATAGTTAGGCCAGCTGATGTGACTTTGTGGTCCAAAGTCTTTCTTGCTTGATTCTTTTCAACCAGTTTAATAGTGGTTCATTATGTAATCAGTCATACAATCATATTCTAGAGAGACCATGCCAACATTGATGACCTTCTTTTGTTTGGTCTTTGTGCCAAACATGTTGTAAGGTTCCAAATGAAATGCTGGCGCTACACCAACAAATTGAACCTCACCCAGCGTCTTCAAAACTACACATTATTGCAAATCGCACTTGGCCCCAAGCATCCCAAACCTCGTGAAACTTGACAGTTCCAGCCAGGTCGGGTGGTATATAATTTCTAATCTTCTGGCTCTGTCTTTTCCAATAATCAATCCATCCAAAGCTGGGCGGTGCTGGTCATGGAAGTGCAAAAAAGAAACACTTGTCTGGGCATTCGGAAAATAATCATTCTTTCGGGGCCATGCCGTTCAAGAACGTCACGATAAATCGAGGGAGTGTCAGTCGCATGGGGAAAATTGCAACCCAAATGGCATGGTTGATATACCTTTTTTGACACTGATAGTTGGAATCCGATGTTCGCCAATCGTCCATATCAATATCTTATCCGGATGTTCCCCTGCCCAGCTGCGGAAGGGTTGTCGTTCATCCTGCCAGCCCGCCAGCTCGCATGCGGCCTCAGGTAGAACCAGGTTCACCGGCTGGGAGGTGGCGCCGAACACGATGGCTTGGAGGAAGGGTTCATGGCCCTTCCAACGAATCTCCAATGGACCAGGGTTTAGGTCTGATGTGGGTTTCGGTGGTCCGTCTTCCCCCTGCGTTTCGGTGGAGGAGGTCCGAAAACGGATTCTGGTGGTGAGATTGATTAGGCGTGACACCAAAGAAACATCGAAATCGTCGTGACACTGCAAGGCCTGAGCGATGTTGGTTCCCCCAAACAGATCCACATCAGTCCCACCCATCTGCCACTGACCCAGACCCCCAAAGGAGATGATCCACCGGGTCCCACCTCTATATCCACCTCCTGGTTCTTGGGAAGACTGGTTCTTTTTGGGAGCTTCCTCTGTAGCTTTGGGAAGCTGGCTCAACAGAAGCTGAACTCTTTGATCAACCTGTTTCTCCAAATGCTCCGGTCAATTCAGTGATCATGATCGATCTTCTCCGAATCTTCTCCCCTCAGGACCTCAATGACCACTGAACATAGCGCCCGAACCTACCCCCCACCATGCCCCACCCCACGCTCACGCCGCTCACGGCATCACCGGGTATTCACCGTGTTTCTTTCACTTCGAAAGAACAGCGGCGGGGTCAAAGATGGCCGTACGCCCACAAACGCTGAGGTGGAGGAAAAGGAAGGCTTTCGCAAAGTTCGCCATCGAGCGCACCAGGAACCTCAGTCGAAACTATTTACCTGGTCTACATGGACGACCCCTATAGTCAAGCACCCCAAATGTATACAGTATCATTATCCCAAATGATCCCAAATGTATTCCATGATATTCCGAGTGTCTGGGTCCTTGTGGATTGTAAGGCCCTTCCTTGAAACACACATCCCGGCCCATGGACTTTGGAGTCGTCGGACACCGCCGACCAGCGCAGTCGCAACCCAGGAACATCGTGGGATTCGCTAGCCACCACTGCAGGAAGAGCGACGTCGCGCAAATGAATTGGCAAATGCCTAGCACTGGTGCTGCGAGCAGTTTGGTCGGCTCCGCTGTTGCTGCCGAGCGACAGCATTTAAAGAGTATGCCGAAGAGTTCGGTAGACCTGGTTTTGTACTGCAAAATGGTTGTTTGGGATTCCGGCTATGAAATCCATGGTGGGCAAAACCCAGGGAGCCAAAGGGGCATGACTGCTTCCTAACCAAGTTCAAAGACATTTGAAATCCTTTGAGAGAAAACCCCTGTCTGGATGGTGTCTCTCCGGGATTCGTGAAACACCCATCCATTCCGTGACCACCTTTGGTCCATCAATGAGAATCTGCCAACATGTTGGATCGATCGTGATTAGTCTGTGCCAAGGTGGTTCTATAGTGCCCCAAAATGAACATGAACAAAAGTCACGTCCACTTCTTGACATAAGGGAGAGCATGACACGTGTTCCTCGTTGAAACATCGAAACAAGGTCAAGGCTTATCAAGGCGGTGAATGAATGAGGCGGTGCGGTGCCCAATGCATGGACCCAAATCCTATCCGGTCCGGTCCCGTCAAGGCATCCGCCGTTTTCCGCCTATCCAAAGGCGATGGTCCACGTCTATCCTCGCAACGAAGAACGGCATCTTCATCGACTCGCCGGAGAGTCCAGGGAGTTGGGCGGTGGAAATGACGGAGTGGCGCCATTCTCATCGACTCACGAGTCCTTCCAGTAGACTGGTCCTCCATATATATATATATAAGTCATTATAAGTCCATCCTCCAAATCCACCCGAGGACGTGTGGACCTCAAGCCGCGAGGGATGTCCTCCTGCTCACCCCCCTCTGGGTCAACTTGGGGCCTGCCGGGCACCCAAAAAAGGAGCAAACCTGGAAGACCTTCTCCCCCCGGAACCGGCCCGCGGGGCCAGCCCCACGCGTGTTGATACCCCCTTTCCGGGCGTGTGGATACGCGAAAGGATGGGCTTCTCCAAGGGGCTCTGAGAGACACAGAAGCACTGTGAGGCAGGTTTTCACCGAGACGCACCTCGGCGATGCGCCAAAATGGCCCGCTGCCCGACCGAGCGGCTGCCGAGAAGACGAAGGAGATGAAAAGGGTGCCCCCCGCGACTGGCCCGACTTTGTGCAGGCGGCATTGCAAGAAAGTAGCGGTTTGTTTAATGATGTTTATTTGCTGATTCATAATATGCCGCATACGGAGGTCAACTATCCAGGTGGGGGGGTTGTAGGCTTTATATCCACAGTGAAAGGTCGTCCGGTATTCCTTGCTCTTCCCTGTGGAGCCACCCCTCATCGGCAACTGGGTGACCTCTTAGCGCCCCTCAGCCAATCACCGTACCTCAGGTTCGGTATGTGGATCCATGGGGATTTTTCATGCCCTGAACGGGACACATCGATGTATCTGGACTATGTCCATCAAAAGTAAACTTGGAAAGGGCAGGACACTCGGGCCCGCGTATACGGCCACCTGATTGATGACCAACCCACCGACTGATCATGGGCTCATCTGGGATGGAATGCATTTGTCCTATCTAGGAAGATCTGCAAAAGACAACATGATTCGGATTGGTTGGGATGAAGTCCCAGCAAGTTGAACTGCTTTCAGAACACAAGCTTTGGAGGTGGTGAACACCAAATGTTTTTTGAGATGAAGAACTGCATGCTGGCGGGTCAGTAGTAGGAAATTGATATAGTTTTCCTCATTGATACCCACCATCATCTACGATCAGCGTATAGGCACTGAAGACTGAAGTCACCCCTTGTCTCCAATGTGCATCCATCCAATCCAATGGAAACAAACAACTCTCTGTTACTCATCTAAGCAAAAACACACAAAGCACCGACAACACCTGCATCTGTCTTATGTGCCTTGCATCCGAAAAACCTCTTAGCTTGAACCCTTCCAGTTTCTTTCAACTCCCTCCCCTCTCATCCTCCATGCCAGAAACCACATACCATCCATCGAAATCCACGGGCTTTTCCCGTGCTTCCCTTCACCGAAGGCACCATCCTCGGACCTGCAGCTGCGGGTGACCCCAGGCATGCCGGAACCAGGCCTCCGAGACCTTCCGCCAAGGCAGCATGGCATGGCTCAGATCGCTGGGCGGATCGCCCACTGGTGGCGGATCGAAGAGGCAGTAGGGGATGAAGAGCAGGCGTTTGGAGCCCCAGGTGCCGGTGGTGAGTGGTGAGTCTTCAGCACTGTAGAGCTTACCTTGCGATCTGGGTCTCACCTGTGTCCAGCCATCCGCAGTTGGACATCTTAGGCCGGAACCGTGTTGAGCCAAATGGACTCGGTGAACCAACTGGTTCTTGAAGTGATTGGACGATCACTTAGTTCCCACTCCCCAGGTCACTGAGAGACTCCTGAAATGGGGATCAGCTTGAGGTGCTTCCGAATGGATGGATCTTTTGGGTATGGATCCTTCATCCATGTTCGCCCAACCACTCCACTCTTCCACCCGCAAGCAGGTCTCCAAGCAGGTCATGGGGCCCGGCCGGTCCCCTGGTGCACCCACAGACTTTTGCTTTCCCCGCAGGTCAATGACCTCATTTTACTGGAGTTGGTCATACAAAAGCACTATTCAAGCAAGCAAACGACCTGGTTTTACTGAGCCTTTGGACTTGTAGGGTTTATTTTGTGCATCAGATGACAGATCTGCGGTCTTTTCACCATCGAAGACGGTATCTTCTCGAAACAACATGGGCCATGGTTGGTTCTGGGTCATTGCATGGATCGAACCCCACAACACACCCCAAAAAAAGAACTTCCACGGGTCAACCTTTGCCGAACACACGTTGCTGAAGTTGGGGAGGCGATGTCAACCACTCGCAGCTGTGCAACTCCAACTCCAATGATCACAAGGCTTTGTCGAAATAGACATGGAACACCTATTTAAAAAATGCAGAAAAATGCAATGCCAGTCTATGGGACATCGAGTTGTCAATCCTATAGTTGTCAACAGTTCATGCTCTTGTCGTTCCCGGAACATCCAAGTATACTGGGTATGAACAAGTGTTTTACATACATTTGTGTTTGCCGAGAACCCACATACCGAACCTGAGGTACGGTGGCAGCGGATCCATAGGGTGCATGGATGGTCTGGGATTGTTCATATCGAGACATGTCAAGATACTTCTCACACCCACCAAACACACCCAACGCACCCGCCGACCGCTCGGTCGGGGCTTCCCGCGGGTTCCGAGCTCCAACACTGCCTGGCAGGAACACACAGCACTCAGCGTGCGTTCCATCAGTAAGCGATGTCAGGGACATGGACGCACCGTAGGGATCATGGAACAAATGGTTTTGATGTTTGGTGGTCTCTTCTACATGGTTCACACACTCACGCCACTAGACTAGAATCCATTGGAAAACATCCACACTGAACATGGAAGTAGGAAAACAACATTAGTTGGTTCAAAACATGAGGGTCTTCAATCCAATTCTATTGTGGTCCAGCTGGCGTACATAAATCTTAGATTGGAAGGAAAGGTGGTATGTTTGAGACTTGTTGCTGCCAAAAATGTGGCAAAACCAATTTGAGGAGCTTCTCCAACATTCACAAGGAAGCCTCAATCCCATACTGATTGAAAGGAACAAATGTCAATCCATGCGTTTTATGCCGACAACTGTGCACACAGAAAAAAAACACATACAAACAACCCAATTGTTCAATCTTGTTGTTGCGTTCAATGCCAAATGCGTTAAACATCGGCTCTTAGCCGTGGCCTGGAAGGAAACCTCCACAAATGCTCCATGGGCATTCATCTGAGGGACCTCAGCGGGCACAATACGTAATGGTGAACGTCTGCACAGTTTGCGCGAATCTCTCTGGCTTTCAGTTTGACCAAAGCCTGTCACTATTGACTTGCTTGCTAAGCTCCGCAAAACTACATAGCGCCACGTCGGAAGGCCCGGGAGTAAAGCAGCCATTGAAGGTTCCTTGCCCCTGCTGCTGTACACTGAAGTGTCCCACAGCCAGTCAAGCCCCGCTTCAATTACAGCATCTCATTGCCTGAACATGTCGTGCGAGAGTTTGGAGTCTGGGATGCTGATACAAAATCTCAGGCTTAGATCACACATCAAGGGAGCTGACCACAACCTGTGTTCCGGAATGTCTGAGACACGCTGGCGCCGCGGTCGCACGCAGACGCTCTTGGATCGTCTCTTGCTGCAGGACCTTGAACACTTCGGTTGAAAGGATGTGAAGCGGAGAAAGTTTGTTGGGCGCCGCAGGACAGTTTTGAGACAGCACTCTTCAGACTCAGCCTGCTCTATCGAATGCCAGAACCGCACAGTGGGAAAGGGATTGTTTTTTGCGAATGTCCGATCCTGCGCCCCAATAGCTTTGTCCAGGCAATGACTTCTACACCACTAAGCCACCTGAATATGGGTCCTATTTGCCGCATGGAACCTGGTAGCCTGCAGCTCCCAAGAAATGGCGGGGGTGCAAGGAAAGCAGTGGTGACGTGAGGTTCTTGATCTGGGAGGGTGGTGCTTTGGAGGGATGGTAAATCTGTTCATACTCATCCATCCTGAATAAGCCTGCCGAACTATGGCCAGACCCCTTGTTTCTGATTCTCCCAAATCCAAACATGGAACGCGGTGAAGCGATGTTGTTCCATTGTCATGCTGACATCTGAATCTGCGTTACCCAAATAGGCCAGCAAGAGACGATCCAAGAGCGTCTGCGTGCGACCGCGGCGCCAGCGTGTCTCAGACATTCCGGAACACAGGTTGTGGTCAGCTCCCTTGATGTGTGATCTAAGCCTGAGATTTTGTATCAGCATAACAGACTCCAAACTCTCGCACGACACGGAACGCATCTCGCGAGAGGGAAAAGGAACGCTCACAGAGCCGTGAACGGTGGCCATGGAGCGCGTACATCGCGCATCCGGTCAAGCAACCTGCGAACAGCGTGCAACCTGATGTGGTCTCCGGTCAAGCTCTCACTTAAGAGCTGGTCTTGGTAAGGTTTCCTCCCTTTTCCAATGTGGAGATTTGGCAAGGGGATGTGTGCAATCAAGTGCAATGATGGGAATATGACCCCTTCAGAAATTGACCAAGCGAAGGTCTACATTCCCAATCCCTTTGATCATATTCGCTGGTGCAAAACACAGACTCTCAAAAAATTGTCGCTTCATCATTCTGCTACGTGTGGGTGGGTGAAAAACCATTATAACACGGGCTTTCCACCTCTGCAAGCCCCTGAACAGCAAAAGGCGCTGTGCTCTTCAGCCGTGCTGATGTGTTTTCCGGTTGCAAATCACCAGAAGAGGAGAGTCGAAAACCATACCGACCCGTGGCAATGGCAATTATATCGGGTCGGACATACTCGCAGCAACGCTGTTCGTCTGTTCCTCTGTTCGTCTGTGGTCGTCGAATGCATCACTGTTGGACACGTGGGAAACATGGTACAGTAAACACAAATAGCACCAGTCCAAATTGAACAGTAGGATGCAAATAGCATGTGACTTCTACTCGTGATGGTTGTGTCTTCTTTCTCTATGTTATCTGCCAGTTGTTTGCTGCCTATTTTCACTAGTTCCCAATATGTCTCCTTCAAAAGAGAAAATAAGTATGGGCTTCACAACTCTAAATCTGGTGTTCCATGCAGTATGTGTCTCATGTGTTCCTACGCTGAACCCGATTTGTTCATGAATTATGCGGCCCTCATCAGATTTCACTCCGTTTGTGCTCACTTATATATACCTGCCAACTATTGCATCTCCATTCTTTGCGTAACGAATCACGTTGGTCGTTGAGTCTGATGGTCCAGTCTGGACGGAGAACAACAAAGGGGTGAAGGGCGACAGGCCGGGCGACACGTGTGGTGAAGCAAGACGACGCACATTGCTGACTTGGCTGTGATTTCTTTTTTGGTAAAGCACTCAACCACCCTCTTCGCAATGAGTCCAGAAGTACGTGCCAACTATCTTGCTGCGGGAGTACAAAGCATCCAAATCGGCGCAACTGTACAGTCCCTCAAACAGGATAAGATCGGGGCTGGTGCATAATTAGATACGATATACATATATATATATATTAAGTATCTAAAGGTTAATAAGCTACTTAGATCTGCACGTTATTTTTTGGGAGTTCTCTTTGCCCCGACACCTGGCACCTTCTTTCAGCACCACGCACCTGTGGTTTGCTGCATCCACCGCATCCACCGCATCGACGTCTAGGTTCCCAGGCGACGGTCACGTCCTCCGCCTTCGGTGCGTCCCAAGGACCAAGGGCATCGACGCCAACGGCGCCAACGCTCACGTGGAGCCAAAGCTCTTGTGCCCAACCGTCGATGGCCTTAGAGCCCGGCGCCCCCGTTGTTCCGAGGCAGCCCTTCAAGACACGGCAAGGCAAAAGATTGGTGTGTTTATACCCACCCGTCCAGTAAAGACCCCACATATTTCTTTTGTCACATGTTTTGAGGTGTTCATTGGCCTTGTTTTGGGAGGGTATATGAATATGGTTTGAAACGTTTGCCTTGAGTCACGTTCTCTGATGTCCTGTGAGACGAACTCCATGTGACGCGGGATAATCTTCCCTGATCTGGGCCCACTGATTCTACAAAGAAGGAGGCACATCGATCGCTAATTATAAGGTTGGAGGCTGGAGGCCATTGCAATTAGGGAGTGGTCATGTCCCCATCGCGCTGAGTTTACTTGGGAAGCAGGGGTTCTAGGCGCGGGCCCCAAGCAATTGCAGCAAAGCCGGACAAAAACTCATTGGTTGGGATGTCTCCTCCTCAAGTAAGTCCTGCGAGGAGCCGTGGAATCACATTGCTCTTGGTAGGACATCGCACTGCTCTGCGCTGTTCAGTCAACTTAGCATTGCTGATCTAGCCATCAACGGGGCTAGCTCTACATGACACCGAAAATCATTCCAGCTCAAACGTGCACTCTGATCGAACATCCCATGTCGTCGACCGTAAAATACCGCCCCAAGTGATCGGGAAATATGCCGGTCCGGAGCGTCTGGATTATGAAAAAAAGATGCCTACGATCCAGCAAATGGAATTTTTGGACGTCGACATCTGCAACATGAGGTTTGCAGTAGTGCAGTCCTGTTACAACGGGATCGTTGTCGTAACAATCTTTGTGTAGCACATTGGAGGGGCCTGGAACAAGGCCGATGTTGATGCCTTGCTGTAATGAACAGTATAGTCACCCTCCCGTCTCTTGCGTTCTTTTCTACCTCACATTCATCAAACTTGCATGAAACGTACATGTGTTGCCCCTCGATTTCTTTTCATGTCGTGTGGTTGACA